CACAACTCGTAGAGAAAGTTACTCTTTACAAAACCCTGGGCTATTTCAGAATCCAAAGGATCCAAAGTCCTAGAGTCAAAGGAACACTGAAGGAGCATACAGTCTAACAGGACCTCAGAATATAGAAACACACCTCCAAAACCACTGCATCCCACCCCAAGGAAGGACCCCCAGGCTCGCTTTCATATGAGACCAGCTTGGGAAGAGTGTTTACAAGGGAATTACCACCAGAACAAACCAGACAGTCAGCCTCTGCTTGTCTGATACCACATTCCAACCACCACGTATGAACAAACACCACCCCACGCATTCCCTTGAGGCACATCTCACCATGGATGTTTTTCTGATGTGCCTCCCCTTTCTCAGAACAGCAGTGAGGCAGGAGGCATGGCCCAAAGGATATGGTGGGCAGACATGGAGAGAGGTGATAGCGGAGATAGGGGGAGAGGCGGGTGATGAAGCCATCCAAAAGACCGGGAGGACAGTCTGATGTGCTTCTCAGATCAAGGCTGTTCTCAGGCTTGAGAGTTGCTCTTCTGAATTTTCTAGACCAAGGCTTCTCAACCACAAAGAGATCTAAAGTGGAGATCTGACCAATGCACTCACCTCCCTAAACCTTTCAATGAACTCCTATTGCTGGCTCTTAGGGGTCAAGCTTGAACATAGCCGGGTTACACAAGGGGAAGGGGCTGCTAGGCCACCTCAAAGACTGCCTCTTTCTGAGGAAAATGGGAATCACTGCAGGGCTTTGAGGAAAGGAATGGTGTGATCTGGCTCATGTAAATTTCCAATAGCCCCTCTAGCTGTTATTCAGAGAATAATGGTTGAAGCTGGGACACAAGTTATAAAGCAACTGCAGTAATCTATGTGAAAGTGGGGGTTCAGACCAGCAGGTGGGCAGCAGGGATGGTGAGGAGTCTAAGAAGAGGCATCTTGTGTCTTGGAGACCTCAGCCTCCTAACTCTTGCTCAATGCTATGTGAATGCTGTTCAACCTAATGCAAGCTATCTCCACATAAATGAGTTTATAGTCATTATACAAATACATGTTAGCAATTAAGATAAAGATGCAAAAGATTCCAATAAAATGCCTGAAGCGTGCTTTATAGAAAAGCCTATTAGGTTCCTAGGACACTTAGTAGATGCTTAATAAATGTATACTGAATGGATAAATAAATGAACAATACATCTTATACTGTGTGAATAATTACTATATCCTTTAGACATAATCATTTATAGCCATTAATTCAAAGTATTTTATCACCATGGATGTAATTCATTTTGGTTGCCTTGCTTTAAGAATTATTTTTGGCTTCTCTTGCCACCATATTATAAGTCATTTAAGCTTCATTATTTTACCCAGACCATAAATTTGTTTTTAACAATGACCAGACTCAAAATGCATTGTTATTAACTTTGTGTGAAAATTGAGATTAATGCTACAATTAGCTTGATACCAATGACCCTGAGCCTCATTCCACGAGGTGAGAGAGTTCCACATATTGACATCCAATGTCTCTCCCAGCTTGAAAATTCCAATATTTGATATTCACTAAAAAATGTATTGGAGGCCCATCATCCCATATATCTGAAAAATGCACCAAAATCAGGTGCATTTTGGAATTCAGATAATTTTGGATTTTGGACTTGCGTAATATATTCAATGGAATCTGGGCAACACCTTGAAGTTAAATAGTTTGGCAATGAAGTGTATGAATATTCACACATATGATGACAATAAACAGCCTCATATAAGTTCAGGTCAGGTTTTACAGTAAATTAATTATAAAAATATTTTGGAAAAAGAATGAAGTTGGACCCTTACCTTACAAAAATTAAATCAAAATTGATCAAGAACCTAAATGTAAGAGCTAAAACTATATAACACTTATAAGAAAATACAGGGGGGAAGCTTCATGATGTTGTATTTGACAATGACATCTTGGATGTGATACTAAAAGCAGAGGTAACAAAAGAAAAACAGATGTATTGGACTACAACAAAATTTAAAACTTTTTTGCATCACAGACTACATCAACAGAGTGAAAGGACAACCTATGAAATGGGAGAAAATATTTGCAAATCATATCTTTAATAAGGGGTTAATACCCAGAATATATAAAGAATTGTTACAACTCAACAACAAAAGGGTAAACAACCTGATTTTAAAATGGGCAAAGGACTTGAACAGAAATTTCTCCAAAGATGATACACAAATGGCCAACAGGCTTATGAAATGCTCAAAATCACTAATCATTAGGGAAATGCAAATCACAACCACAATGAGATACCACTTCACACCTACCAGAATGGCTATTATCAGAAGAGTTGGCAAGGACGTAAAGAAATTGGAACCCTTACACACTGCTGGTAGGAATGTAAGCTGGTGCAGCTACTATAGAAAACAGTATGGCAGTTTCTTGAAAAGATTAGAAATGCCATACGATCCAGTAATTTCACTACTGGATAAATATCCAAAGGAATTGAAAGCAGAGTCTCAGAGAGATATTTGTACACCCGTACTCATTGCAGCATTTTTCACAATAGTCAAAAGGTGGAAGCAACCCCAATATTCATCAACAGATGAATGGATAAACAAAATGTGGTATATATGATGGTATATTATTCAACCTTAAGAACAAAGGAAATTCTGACACATGCTACATGAATGAAATTTGAAGACATTATGCTAAGAGAAATAAGTCAGTCACTAAAGAGTAAATACTGTATAATTCCACTTATATGAAGTAGCTGGAATAGGCAAATTCATAGATACAGAAAGTAGAATGGTGGTTTTCAGGGGCCAGGAGAAACGGGGAGTAGAAGTTATTGCTTAACGGGCAATAAGTTTCAATTTGGAAAGATAAAAAGTGTTCTGAAAATGGGTAGTGGTGATGGTTGCACAACAATGTAAATGTACTTAATTAATGCCACTGATTTGTCCACTTATAAAAGGTTAAAATGGTAAACTTTACTATGTATATTTTACCAAAATTTTAAATAGTTACTCTCATTAAAAAAAAGTAGTTTGATATTCTGAGTATTGTGGCTTTCAGAATTACAGATAAGGGGTCCTGGACAAATTAGGTTGTTGATTTATATCATGTATTGTTAGTAAAAACTTGTTAGCAGACTTACCAATCGTCATAAATCTAGTCACTCACAAAAGATGTACAAGTTACTGGGGTAAATAAAACACTACTATTGCCTTGATGGAGGAATGGTCCTCCTGGCAAAGGAAGGCCATTTTCTTTGACTAAGACTTGAGGAGGGGACTTCATCCCCCCAAATCAGCTCTGATTCTTGTTGATGTGAGCATGACCCATCTCCAAATCAGTTCAACCTCAATCGAAAGTATGGTGAATTGTTTTCACTGGAAATCAAATGTCTTAATCAGCTCAAGCTTGACTACAAAGATCTAAGAGAATAGTGTCTCTCATAATAAAGCTATAACACCGTTTTTTTTCTGAGCTTAGTATTCATCTTAGTTTATCTAAAAACTTTTTTCTCTCTTAATGAGTAACAATTAATAGTTATTAGAAGATGCAAATAGTGATTAGGAGGTACAATCTTTATCAGATTTGTATAAAACAAAGTGCAAACTATGAGATTCATTTTGTAGATCTTGTGGACGTCTATAGGAGGGTCAATAGAAGTCTTTACAGATAGCATACTAAGTACAGGCACACTTGGAAATATTGCGGGTTCAGTTCCAGACCACCCAATAAAGAAAGTATTGCAATAAAGCAAGTCGGAATCTTTTTGCTTGTGGAGGGTTTTACCTTCGATTTGTGAAAAACACAACATTTGTGAACCTCAATAAAGCAAAGCCAATAAAGCAAGGTATGCCCCTAAGTTTGAACTTTATAAATAGATTTGGATTCCCAAATGCTAATAAGTGCAGTTTCTGAATTTTAATTATTATACTTAAATTTAAGGAACACAGAGCATCAGTACTATGTCATGGGAATTGGAATATGGCCACGATTAATTATCTTGCTAAATTTGTTTAGAAAGCTGTTTGGCTGTTTGAGTAAAATGAAAAATCACTATATTTCCATGGAAATAAATTCAAGAGTCATTGTTACACAAACAGTGAAAATATGGAAGAAGACTCATTTATATCAGGAATTCTTACAAGAAAAAAAACTATTCATACATATAGTTTCATGTCCAAGTCCAGAGCAAGGAGCCTTTCATTCTTTTGACTCTAGACATTTATCCTGTTTTTCCACTAAGGGCTGGAACAAACACCAATATTTCTTTGGAAGTTTGATAGTACATAATGGACTTCTGTTACAGTCTTGCCAAAAGGATGATAGGCAATAACAGATAACATTTACTGAGTGCTGACTATGCACCCTTGTCTTATCCTAAGCACTTTGCAAGTGTATTTAATCCTCATACAAATCTATGTTGTAAATTGGTGCTAGTATTATTCCCATTTTATAGATAAAGAAACCGAGACCCAAAGATGTGAAGAAATTTGACCAAGGTCTCAAATCTATCATAAGTAAAATTTAGATTTGAACAGAGGCTCCCTGACTCTGAGCCCATATTCTTAACTTCCACTACTATGATAGCTATTATTTGAAAGCTATTTTAAAAAATAATTTCATTTTGTTTATTTATTTTTTTAAATTTATTTATTTTCAGAGGCTAAGTGCAGTCACATTTAGGGTCACCAACTTATCCAGAACGTCATCTTTATAAATGAAAGTCCCATTTCCTGAGATACCACTCAGTAGTTTTATCATTATGTTATTTTATCTTTGCATCAGGACCATTGCTAGTTCATACAGGTACCTTTATGCACATTTGAAAAAAAGGGTGTCAATTTATTTTTAACATACTTTTGATTTTGTATTTGATATATTTATGCAAACTGCCTTAAATCCTTTATGGAATAAGATGGGATACAGAGAAACAAATATAAATCCACAACTTCACCTCGTATTTAATACTCTTAGAGTTATGGGTAAGTATTAACACATACGTTACCTTTATATCCTTGTTCTGTCTCCCTGAGATCAATTTTGGTTATTGGTTTGAAATCAGTGTCCCATAATCGTATACAGCCATCTCGTCCGCCAGTGGCAAAGCCTTCTTCACAAGCATACATGCTAAAGATTCCAGCCTGTTAATTAAGGCAGATAATACTCAATGCTGCCATCATTCTAAATTGTCATTATAGTTGGATTTTGATGATAAAAAACAAAACAAAAATAAAAAATCCTTTCATCTCCACTGAAATCCTGACAATAGGACAAATGTCCTTCATTTTAGCTAGAGTAAAAATTAATCATAGTAACCATCAAAGCAAACTAGTTCAAGTGCCCTTGCCATTACTAATCTGATGGCAGGTTGTAAAGAAAAAAAAATTATTCAGAATTCCTTGGTTAAAGCAGATATGAAAATCATAAATTCCTTTTTGTGACAAGTGATCATTATAAAGAACAGTAAGATGACGATGGTGGATGTGTTTCATATAAATTGCTGCCCAAAATAATCAAGTAAAAATATACAGGCTAGGGACATAAACACTTCTACAGGTACAAAGATGCCTAAATGCATCTCCATGAGCTCAGAAGGCACCACCTAAGCCTAAGGGAAAGCATAAATTACATTTGCATTAGTTTATTAAGCATCATTTGAAAATGCTTCTTCACATTTGAAATAGTTTCATAATTTAAAGATTTTTTTTACAGGTAATTATTTTATTTGGTCTGTTTAAAAGTGCTACACATGTATAATGTTGACAGAAGATCCAGTGTAAAGAGAAATTAGGTTACTAAAGCATCTTCTTTTATGAATGGGGACAAATACTAACCTCTTACGTGTTTTAAAAGCTGTTGCATAATTAGTGAAGCCAAGAAAACTGACCTTCAACATACAAGACAATAAAAGAACTAAAATTTTATAGCTCTTTTGCTAAGAATTGCTTAAAGTTTTCTTCCTACTAGGAGTGATAAGAGATCAGTTTGGAGACAATAAACTAAAAGTCTGTCAAGTTTCCAGTAACATTTTACCCCATTTCCATATTACATACAACAGGCTTTACCTTTCACATCATATCCTCAATTCTACTGGGCAATCCCATTTTATCATTGGTAGATACAGCAATGTAAGCATTTTAATAATTGTCAAAATTGAGCAGAGTGGTTAGAAGTAAAGTTCTTATAGAACAGACCATCAAAAGAGCTTGTCAATAGTTTGTTTGCAGTTTAAGAGCTTGCCATGTGAACAGAGAGGTGACGCTCTCTCATTCAGAGTGAGGAAAATATACCTTACTAATTAATGTAAAAGTAACAGTTGTCTCCACCTTTAATATTCAACAAATGGGCAGGCAACAGGCCAGCAGCAGTGACATCATCCCAGACCCACTAAGGTGTGAGAAGTGCTGGTCTATAAGATGAAACTGATGATGAAATAGTTGTTTTCTGTCAAGCTACTGTTGATGGACAACACCACTAATCAATCAATCATCGAGGTGAAGACTAATTCAGTTATTACACTTTCAAAGTATTTCTTTTAAGATGAACAAGAATAATTTGGGAAATCTTTACATGAATGTTTAAAGAGTGTTCAGCAGAGTCAGCTGATCCTAAAGCAATGTGGAAAAAATAGTGATTTGTGACCTTATTTAATAAATCATAACCAAAATTTCCACATGGGAATACTCACACTATGTGCCCCTTGAATGGTGCGAACTAAATTGAGCCCTTTCCAGACATAGATGTCACCATTTAGAGCACCAGAGTAGGTGATGTCTTCTTTGGCACACGCAAGGCAAAGGATGGTCTGAAGGTCCCCTGTTTTGCCAAATATCCCCCTTTTTGCAGTCAGGGCATTTCCACATAGTGTCCAAAACTAGAAAGTAAGTGATAAAATAAATAGATCAAAAAAAAAAAAAGAGTGTTGTAATGCATTACATTATTGGTATTTATTTGCTTATGTTTCAATATATTTTACACAATTTTCTATAGCTGAACTAGGCACACATAATTTAACTTATGTTAAAAGTTCTCTGCTGTCGCAGCAAAACACAAAACATTTTAACCAACTAGTGGCATATGGAAACTTACAATGATATTTCAAAATGTCCAAAGTTCCCAAATTCCAAAACTTTGCTAATTGCTTAGTGATAATTTAATACAAAAAAGTCAGTATTCTCAGAGTTGGGATAAAGTGGCTGAATCATGTGTTTGTTTTTTATTAATTTCATGTCAAGTTATAGAACTAGTATAGGTTCATTGTAGTGAAGTTTAGAAATACAGAAAAGTATAAAGATGAAAACTGAAATTATCCACACCCTCCTGTTAACATATTGATATATCTTCTAGGCGTATTTTGGTGTATATTTTTGGAAATAATTTCTAACTGAAAATGTTATAAATCTTTACTGTAAAAATGTTACTCAAAACTATGTTTAAATATAAGCTATATTTCCATACAGCTAAATAATTGACTAGCATAAAGTTTGAACTACTTTATAGAAGGCAGCAGGAAGACTCCCATGGCTATATAGAAATTAAATATTTTTTCACTTTGACATCATTTTTTTAAGTGTATGAACTGGTACAGCTTTGCTGCCATATATACAGCCCTTATCATTTATAATGGCTCTTTCAATATGTTCAGTTATTTGATCTTCTCCATGACCTTGAGAATACGCTAAGGCAGATATTATTATCCCCATTTGGAAGTGAGGGAAAGAGAGCATAAGTGGCTTGCCAAAGGTTCAGTGGGGATTACATATGAAAAAATTTTGAAATCTTCATCTCTGCCTTGAGAACTTTAAATCTAATGAAGATACATATAAAACAACAAGAGATGACTTTAAGGCGGTATGTTCAGACTACATGTAAGTGGCAGAGAATTCAAAAATAGAGAATCATGGTGAGTTAATTGGAATGAGCAAGAATAGGATTTGGATTAGTGGCGAGGAAGAAATTGCATTGAGGTTCAGGAGAGTGGGATTAGACAAATTCAGGTGACAGGAAACATGAGGAAAAATCAATGACAACCCTAATACTTTGTGCCTGCAGGTAAGAAAAATCAAGGCCCTCACAGAAGAATTGGGTATTCCGGGAAGCAGTTCTGGGATGGTTGTACCACCGAAGAGCCAGGATTCAGGCAGCTGTGGAGGAGGTGGCCCTCAGGGAGGGTGAGAGGCAGATGTGCAACCTTTGAGACAATACAGGATTCTTCTCTTGTTAAGGAGGGAAGTGTCAACTCTAGTGATTCATTTCTTTGGGCATTATTATTTTTATAATAAGACACAGAAGTATACATGCAAAGAATAAAAAGATCTGGGAAAAAGATAGTTAGGTATAGGCTTTGGGAAAACATTTAACATTTAAGTATTAACTTTGAACCTAAAATTATTAGACATAAACAATTACTGGTTGTACATACATGCCAAAGAACTTGCTGTTTGTGGTGACACTTAAGGCAGACATTTTTTTTCTCACTGTATCTACCCATGAGTGAAGATTGAAAGGAGACTAATTTTGGAATTATTTAAAATAATTTTGGAGTTATTCTCCCTTTAACTTGAGATGTGCACCTCTGATCTGAGTTACTGAAATATTTCTAAGTGGACAACCACAAAAAAGAGAGACCATTATCCTCAGACACAAAGGTTTTCTGATAAAAATCACCCAATCAAGTGGTATAATGTCGACGTAAAATTCTAAGTAATCAAATAATTGTCTAAAAAGGCACATATAGATGTAATGCCAGGCTAGGTAAGAGATTTTCTGCAAAACATGGAAAACCTATGACATGTTATCTTTTCTTGAGAAGCACTTCCTTTTTGGAAAACAGTGACAGTTCAGGGTAGCAACAATCATTAAACCCGTATCAAATGAAGAGACTTTGTTTATATTCTCCAATCTCCATTCACAGACTATAATGCAAGTTGTGTTAGAACTGGCAGGTACCCGGAGCTCATCTGCCCTAGGTAATCCCCAAGGTCCCTTCTGTCTATGACTAGAGCCTGGAGAAGATCAACAATATCCACAAACCTGGTAGGCTCATTTGCTATAAAACCAGCCAAGCAGACTGCTCAACTGCTACTGTTTTCCAAGCATTCATTTCAGATCACTGTAATTTGCTGTTTGTAAAACCAGAAAGGATTTCACCCTAACTACAAAAAATTCACTTAAAAACATTTTCTTGGAATGCATCAAAGATTTTGCATTCATCTTGTGACTGGAATCATTCACTTGATGTTAGGCAGCTTTTGAGGGAAAGGGTGGGGATCCTAGAACTGGATGGAGAAAATATAGAGTGAAAATAATTTGTTGAAGTCTGCTGAAATTTACTGTGGTTTTCTTTCTAACCCAAATTAATCAAGAATGACTGGATTTGCAGGTTTTTCCATTTGAAGTAAAAAAAAAGCAAAAAAAAAAAAAAAAGCTTGTTTTTGCTTAGGAAAAGAAAAAGCCTAAACCTGCTAAATCACAATTAACAAATTTAACAGGGTAAGCAGCTCTCAGTGTCTTGAAATGAAGTTCCAGAATTCTATCTATCGTTGCCTTTAGAATTAACCTAGGATGGGAAAAAAAAACACACAAAAAAACAGAAAAGCTGGAGAATTCTATCAATCATACAGCTAATCTACTATTTTTTAATGCCCTGTTGTTTTGGGGAAAGTTAGCCAAGTTAAATTATTAAAGAAGTAATTTCTAAGTGAGAAGTGCCCTACACAGGGAGCCAGAGACTGAATTTCAACCTTATCTGTGCCAGGAAAAGTGTTACACTGTTTAGTGTAACTCTTAATAAATTCAGGAGGTAGTGGTTCCCTCCCTGCCCTGTTATGCTGCTGTTGTTTTTCTGGAGAGGAAGAAATTCAGCCTTTGGAAGATTACATAGTGAAGTAGAAGGAGATAGAACCAAGATTCAAAGTCAAATAACCTCCTAGGTCTTGGCTTCCTCACTATAGAATATTCAGTTTGGATGATGGCTCCCGGGTCACCGTCTCAGACCTCCCAAGAGCTGCCACAGCCTAATGGAAGTCAGGCTCATCACGAGCTCATGTATTTCCTTGCTTGTGGCTGAAACAACATTCAGAGCCTTTGTCACAGGTTAGACTGATCAGAAACTCATGTTGGCAGATATATATCTTTGATTAGTAAAAAAAATTGGTAAGGGAATATTTAATGGCTAAAGCATATTTTGTGGCCAAAGACTTTCAAAATATTGGTTCCCTTGGAAAGAAAATTTTAAAAAGAGGTTCTTCACAAATATATGGTGATGGAAGAACTGACTCTGGGTGGTGAATACAGAATGTGATATATAGATGATGTAGTACAGAATTGTACACCTGAAACCTATGTAACTTTACTAACCCAATAAACAAAAAAACAAAAAAATAAAGAGGTTCTTCCGTGATGAAAACATTGACAATATTTGAACATGTTATGGATTAAGGGCCTTTCTGCTCCCCAGTTCCATGGTTCATGACCAGTCCACTGGTCCATGACCAGTGGCTCCTATTAACTCCTGACTGACGGGCAACCCCTCTGCTGGGCTTTGCTCCTTTCAAGCCCTCCATACCAAACTCACCTACCCACTGAAGCTCAGCTCAAATGACATCCCGTTCCTGAGACACTTACCATTCCTCTAACCAGTTGGGCGCTCTCCCTCATCCCTAGATTATTTCAGTTTTGCTTCTCTCACAGAATGTTCTGTTTTAATGTTTTAGTTGCTCAGCTTCATGCAAATTGCTGTTTTTATTCCTTCAGATGATACAAACTCAACTAATGGTTACCAATTTAATGAGTTCTCTAGTCTTTCAGGTGGGTTGTGTAAAACATAAAGAAGGATCCTCCAACTCCTGCTGAAGCAAAAAGTGCTTATATTTTAACAAAAATATTCTCAGGTTAAAACCAGGTCTTTGCACAAGAATGACAAAATGTTTATGAAGCCTTAAGGTGTCGATCAGTGGAACCTATAGACTATCTTTTTGTCCCGGTTTTTTTTCATTACTTTTTTCTTATTTTGGAAGTAGTATATCATAAAATAATTTTAAAATAAAGGGACATTTTAAAAATCATCCATCAACTCACGACCCAGAGGCAATTGTTTTAACATCTTGGGATATCTTTCCAATTTATTTTCTACACAAAAATATACTTTAAAGTAAAAAAAAAAAAAAAATATATATATATATATATATATATATATATATGAAAGCCACAAGTTTACTCCATCCAGAAGTAGACCGTAAATGGATCTTGATATTTCCTAATAACATTAAATAATCATCTAAAACAAATTATAATAATTATACAGAGGGCCGGCCGAGTGGCTCAGTTGGTTAAGAGCTCGCTCAAGAGTTTGAGCTCTGAGCAACAGCGGTTCGATGCCAGCCCGAGCTGAGCAGCCGCTAAGCTACCAATAGGTAGCAGGATGGCTCAGCTAAAAAAATAATAATAATAATAATAATTATACAGTATTCATTTCTTCATATGGACATACCATATTTTATTTAGACACCTGGGGTAAGTTAGGTAGTTTCAAGTCTTGTTTTGTTTGGTTTTCATTGCTGTTGATGTCATTTAGCAATGAACCAGTGCTGGCTAGGTTCATGCTCTTAACAGTTTCAGTGGATAAATTCCAAGACATGAAATTATTGGCTGTGCTCACTTTGGCAGCTCATATAGTAAAATTGGAATGAAATTACTAGCTCAAAAAATTTCTAAGGGGCTACTGACACATATTGCCACATTTCTGGACTGAAAGACCATACTTCATTTATCCCTCCACCAGCAGGGTTTGAGAATGCTCATTCACTAAACCTTTGCCAACACGGGGCACATTTTAATCATACTTTTGATAGATTAAAAACATTGTTATTTTAAATTTTGTATTCTTTATTAATGAGATTTAGCATTTTCATATGTCTATTAGCCAACAATGTTTCTATTTTTGTCAGTTGTCGATGTTCTCTGTGCATTTTACAGGTTTGCTAGAGGCCTTTTCATTTCAAGAACAAGCCAACATCCCATCTCCCATGCATGCTTGCTGCTTAGACTTCACTGGCTTGTGGTTTGCCTCTTTTGTTTCTTGGGGGCGGCGGGGAGGTAGACAGAATATTTTAATATTTATATAGTTAAATCTATAATATTATCCCTTATGATTTCTTTCTTTGCTTTTACGTTTTGAAAGGCCTTTCTCCAACTTGAGCTCAGTTAAACATTTACTTACGTATTCCTCTAGTTATAGTTTTTTTTAACATTTAACTCATAAAGAATTATTTTAGTGTATGGTATGAAGTAATAATACGTAAAATTTTTCCCCCTAAATAAACTGTTCTAGTGCCCACTGGTCAGAGATATTATTATAGTCTAAATTGTCATATATACTAAAGTCTGTTTCTCAGTTTTCTTATTTGTATTGTTATTCATTTATCCTTATCCCTGTCTTACACCATTTTATTTGTTGTAATTTCATAATGTGCTTAGACAATAGTTGTGCAGATTCCTCTTAATTATCCTTTTTTATCATAAAGTTCTTGATTATTCTCATTCTTTTATTTTTCCACATTAACTTATAATAATATAAAGGAAAATGCTGTCAGGTAACAACAAAACTTCCAGGGATATTAATTGAACTTTTACTAAACATAAATTAATTTGGAAAGAAATTATACATTTATAACTTTCATATTTCATCTCAAGAATCAAGGTTATCTCTCCATTTGCTCAAGCCTTCTTTTATATTCCCCTGTAGTTTTGTAATATTCTTTAAGTAAGTCTTGTATGTTTCCTATACTATTTATCTGTGAGCATTCTGTCATCTGGCCCTTTCTAACTATTAAGTAGGAAAAATTGGAAGGATCATGAAAAACTAGACTAAAAGAAGCACAAGAGAACTGGGAAACAGAAGGAGGTAGTTGGAGGATAATACAGATACCTACTCTGTTCATACAGAAATGCACCATTTTGGTACCAGGAGAGATCCATGTAGGCTCTATTCAAGCAAGTAATCCTTACACTCTCGTTTATGGACTTGAACTTATAGTATCTACAAATCTATAGAAAAAAGTTCCTGGGCTATAATCTCAGGGTCCGGAAGAATTTTTGCCATGTCAAAGCAACGGATGTTGATGGTATTAATTATGCTACCAGTGTAACAAAATACAAACAAGCAAATAGCCAGAGGCAGGTCCTGGGCCACTAGTAAATTTCAGGCTGTGTAGTCCAGAGGAAGACAGAGGCATTTAAAAACCAACAGCCCAGGTAGGTCTGCACTGTATATCCCTCTATGTCTATGTCCAACACCACATGGCACCTTTCCTCTTTGAGAATGTATCAACATGTCAAAAAGTTTTGACATGCAATACGTGTAAACATTCATTGTAATGTGAAAACTTAATTCACAAAATTAAAATCAGAGCTGTTTTAAAACAGGCAATCCTAGAAGTATTATGACTTTTTGGTTTATATGTAATGAATGAAGTTTCTTTTTCAGCTGCCTACTGAACACTTCACTTGACTGTGGTTTCGTTGCTTTTCTGAGAGAGAGCCCCATCAGCTGGAGCTTGCTTCAAGACCAGAGAAGCAGGTAGAAAGGCTCTAAATTTAAGGAAAATATATGAAGCCGAGTCATTTCTCAACACCAAATTATATATGTATATATAAATAAACACCTAAAATTCTTTTCATACAAGGTACCAAAAAATTTTTAAAAGTAACTACTTTACCTTTATATGTTTTACTCCACAGCTAACCACTCTGTTTGGCTGATATGGATCCCAGGAAATATCAAAAATCTGTTTAAAAAATATTAAAAGTTGCTATGTTGGTCATGTATGTGTTTTTGCCTTCTTTCAGATACCAGTCTCAATTCCAAGACTCTACCCTAACACTTAGAACACAATGTTACCTGCACAGACCGACAAGTGGAGGATTTGGCCCTGGGGATAAGTCAGAAATTGCTAACACATGTTTAATCGCCTAATGTTTACTTACCTTAAGCCTGAATAGAGAGGTAATAATTAACCACAATCACAGAGAACAAATTGGTGTCATATTTTTAACTTTGTCCACCCAGGGTAAACAAATTGTGATGATTTAGGATAAGTTTTTGATAAAATATTCTATAGCTCTCCACAATGCTAATAAAAAAATTTTTGTGATAGTGTCACAATAAAAATAAAAGAATTATAAAATGCTTCATTTTAAGAAGGACAATGTTTAATAGTCAACTATAATTCAATGTGGCCAAAAGTTTCTAGCAATCATAGAAGTTAATGTTCCTGAACATAATAAGGTAGAGGCATTTATCTGGCACTAACTTAGCCCACCTAAAATAGGCCATCATTTTAATCTGAACCAAAATACTATTACATTTTCATTCTCCAAGGAACTGAAAACATAGTCTCTAATACCACTTATCATTCTTTAAGAAAAGTTATCCAACAGTTTGAAGGTGGTTCTACTTCCATTTTAGGAACAGGGAAGAGAAGACTGTCAACCTTGAGGGTCAAATCACCTGTGGCAATTGTTTAGCGTGCCCTGGCCCACCTGAGAGATTCAGATTTCGTGGGTCTGAAATTGGGTCCAAGCATCTGCAATTTTGAAACAGGCTCCAGGAGATTTTAATGCAGGTGGTCCATGGGCCACATTCTGTGAAGCTCTCATAGAAAAAAGGACCAGTTGTCAGGACCAGAGTCTAGACCAGAGAGAGAACTTAGGCTGCTAACTTTTCAGCACATAGGAAGGAGAGATATGGACCAATCATCAGAGAAAGGAGGAAGACTGATAATCTTCAGGTAGGTAGAAAGGAGCAATTATGAACCACAGAAAGAGCACCGAAGAAAGTGCACTTGGCCCAAGTACCAAGTTCTAATGAGATCCAATAACCTCTTTTAGCTATGTAGCTCAGGCTAGCCTTAGCATTTACAACCTTAAATCTCATCATCTCTAAAATGAATGACACCACCTCAGTTATGAGTCAATTAAGATAATGTATATACAATCATCTTGGAGGCTATAAAGCACTCACACAAATTAGTGCTAGGGATTAAGTATTTTAGCCACTAAAATAACCTTGAAGATAATCACTTGCCAATAAGCATCCAATATGATTCATACTGGCATCAGTGAAAAAGAGCAAAACTATGTGCGATAACAAATTATGGGGTCTGGGAGAACAGTGTTCTAAAAGAACAATATTTCATTAAAACATTCTAGGCTCTTAAAATTACAGAGTTCTCACTAGAGTAGCATTGCACTTTTTACCATCTACTCCTATCAGGAAAGTATACAAAACATTAACACAGCAACAGGAAATTTACATATTGATCCAGTCCAATTCAACTTGCTTTATATGATGGGATCACAACATAAGCAGAAACAGTAATATCCAAAACGCAAGCATTGAAAATATTTTCAACCTATTCATTAAGTACTAAGTTAATACCAATTAAATACAAATAAATTAATATCAATGCCCAAGCGTCACGATGCTGTAAAATCTCCCTAGGGGATTTTTCACCTTAGGGGATTCTTATGTGTCGCCAGGGTGTGAACCACTGGGCCAGAGGGGTGCCAGTCCTCCTCCAACACTAAAGTTCCATTGAGGTCACTCCTGGGCTTTCTGAGGACTTAATCCTCAAGTATAATTTACCTAAATGTGCAGCAACAACTATGGATTCCCAGTAAAACCACAATTCTCCTGCACTATTCGTACAAAAAAAAATTTTAGAGTTCACACTTCAGCAAGAAACAGTGGATTTAATATTTAATTAAGGCCTCATTTTACATGGACACTTACATTGTGCAGAATTACAAAACTAGGAATCAATGTAAGATAGTCATGCAAATTCATTATTTTTTTAAATAGAAATCAAGACAGTAGCCAAATTATTTTAATTATGCAAGACACTGGAGAAATAGATTTCTTACCAGTTAATGCATATGCCTGCTTCATATCCTATCTTGCCAGCCATGACTACATGAAATTATCATTTCTGATCACACTGACTTCAGTATGAATGATAAGCAGGCCACAATTTACATTCAAGGTTTTCAAATATAACAAAGAATCACAAAGTTGTCATTATATTCATCTGAAATTCAAATGTATACTCTTGTAAACGTATTTTGTGAATATTATTTTCAACTATTTCCATTTCTAAATAAATGCATCTAAAGCTTTACATATAATTTCAAATTCAATTCTATTTTGATTTTATAAAGAAGCTAAATGCCAGTTTCAAAAATTTGCTTTGCCTATGAAAAGCAGTAACAATTTGAATAAAGCATCCAATCAGCAAAAGAGATCATGCCAACATAGCTATCAATCATAAATTAATTTTAAAAACAGCAAGTTTTTAAGTTGAATATGTTGGAAAAATCTACATGTGGCAAATTCATTTTAAAAAATATTACAACTCTGAGAAGCTCTATCACAATTCCCCTGCAGTTACACGATCTGCATGGTTTGATCCAATAACTTCTTACCCGGTCGGAGTGGCCCGTGGCTGAGGCCAGAAGTTTTCCCTTCCTCCAGTCCCAAATACAGACTGTGTTTTTGGCATCCAATCCCACAGAGGCTAAACGCTAAGAGTAAGAACAATAATGTAATACATAAAAATGATGTCAAGAGTTTCCAATATCCATGCGTTCGTTCAACAAATGCTTACTGATTACCCGCTATAGGCTAAGCATTGAACTTCTTATGAAAAAAATCATTTTTCAAGATCTACCTGAAATCCGAATTGAAAGCTATCATAGTAGATGACTTCCATTAGCATATACTGAAATTTTAATAATCTATAAGCTGCAACTCAGTTATCCTTCTTAGACATAGTAAACATGTGCAAAATCTCATGAAATTTCTGATTCATCAGTGGAAATCAAAGCAACAGAAGATGAAGTGAGGGTTCAATATTTTAATTTAAGATCTTAACATGAGATTTAAGAGATTCTAGGATTTTATAGTCTAAAAGCATCACCAAACTGCTAAAATGAAAGGGTTTGACAAACACAAAGGAGAAATCCCATAAATGAACATTTTCATTGTTCTTAATTTTTATAATTTTGCAAACATTTCAATTGACTAAAAAAGGATATATAATTTTAGTGAAAGTAATCTGGTACTTCATCTCTCAGTCTAAATTCTTTGGGTTTGGATCAGAACTTGTTCTCAAAGGGAAAAGCAATTTAACACATGAGTATATACAAAATCAAAAGTGTCCAAATATGTATTAGGAAAACCAGAATCAGAGGCTGTAGCAGAATACCACTTCTAAGGAAGCAGCAGGGCTCTGGGCTGGGAATAAGTAGATTTGGCCCCTATTTTGACTTTGTGAGTAGCTAGACGTAAGTCCTTGGAAACAAATTTTGATAAAGAATGTTTGCTAAAAAAAAAAAAAATCCAAAATCAGATTAGAGAATATGCATGTAAGTACACATCAAGCAAAGATTTATACTTGTACATGCATATGCATTCTGACACATTTAGTCAGGAAGCCAGTAACTGCAAGTGTGAACAAATGTCACTATCCAGCTACTTTTCTTTAGACATAGATATACATGTACAATGGAATGTATGCATTATCCTGATACACTAGATGAGATTACAGCATAGTAAAATAAAAAACATATATCAGGGGGTCTATGTTGTAGTAAATCTAGTACCAGAAACAAAAATGAGCGGCTAATGATCACTACTCTCAAAAGAGCAGAATACACTAAGTTTTCTGCTATTGTTACTTGTTTAAAAAGTGGCTCAGTTGTTTTCAAAGGTGACTAAATGTTCATTGTTTAAAAAGAGACTCAAACCAGATCAAGTCCTGTAATTCACTGAACTACCCACAAACTCTCAGTGTGGTCAAGCCTCTAAGAATAATTTTACAGGTCTTTTCACAGCACAGAGTTAACTCAAATTTGACAAAAATTGGATTGAAGGAATTAACTGGCATAAACATGGAGGGTGAAAGAGGCAGAGGAGAAGGCCAGGGAGAGAAGGTGCAGCCTCAGTGAGGAGGCGAAGGTAGTGGGAGCCAGGAATGACCCGTTTCCACTCTCTGTCCTATGACATTTTAAAAATTGAGATGTAATTGACATCTATAACATATTAAATCTTTCCTGCCAAGTGTTGCTGAAAGTCAAAGGAAAGAGAAACTTTATTGGGGGGACTGTGAAGGCTTCATGGAGACCTTTGAGGTGTCTTGGAAGAATGAGTCATATCAAGGGGAATAGAGGGTGAGCAGGGCATGTGAGATGGACAGGACAGCCTGAGAAAGGGTCCGGAGGTGCAAGAGCAAGGTCTGGTAGAGGAATCCCTTTGACTTGTCCAATTTGACTGCAAGGGGATAGTGACGATAAGGCCAGAAAAGCTGGTTAGCCTAGAATACTCAGCTATAACGTGTGGTCTTCATTCAATGGGTACTCCAAGCTTTTCTTGTTTTTAAACAATGCTCTGACACTTTTTTTCACCTGGTGAAATATATTAGCAAGACATTTACTGTGTTGTGACCAGTTAAGAGGTTAAATTGTGAGGCATGACATAAATTTGGAATTTAAAGAATGGTGGCAGAGAGAATGGGAAGGGGAGGATGAGTGTCAGAGTTACCGTAAAGAAACTATTAAATACAGATGAATCAGTGACAGCTTTAATTGTGGGGAGAAGTTGTTAGAAATGACCTCAAGGGAAGCAGTCAAAGAGACTCTTCTCAGTGAATTATTAGGAGGTGATGTTAGCTTCTAAAAGCAAAGGAACCAAGGGCCGGGCGAGTGGCTCAGTTGGTTAAGAGCTCACTCAAGAATCTCTGAGCAACAGCAGTTCGATTCCTGGCCCGAGCTGAGTTGCTGCTGAGCTGCCAACAGGTGGCAGGATGGCTCAGCTAAATAAATAAAAGCAAAGGAACCAAGGTGATGCTCAGCATTTGAGGTTTGCGAAAAAAGGTTTGGTCCAACCCTTATTCCAAATAGGAAGCTAACAATGGAAGACAAAGTAGAATTGCTGAGTCATGACAGACTTGACCAGCATGAGTTCATGACTTCCTTCCTGGAGGTATTTTAACCAGATAGTGAGACTGGGGAAACCAAAACAGGCTTATCCAGAGCTGGATGTCAGTGTCACAAGCTTGGAAAAGGATCAAACAGGTGAAAATTCTAAGAGGCTGCCAAAGGCTGATAGGCTTTCTAAGCCTATAGGCTATGGGCAATATAATTCTAAGTGATTTATGAGAAGTTATTCAAGAAAATGGAAATGGAAAATGATACACACCTGTCCATCTGAGTCGAAAGCCAGGCAGGCGACTCCATGTGTATGGACATCTTTAAGAATAGACACAGTCTGAACGTTATAGGAATCCCATATACATATGTATGGCTCCTTCCCAACTTGGCCAGTTGCAACAAGAGTTTTATCTGGGTGTAAGGCAAGGCTGAAAAAGAAAAAAAAACAAAACCTCTTTTCACATCTTCCTACTGAAAAAAATTAAGAAAAATATTGATCATCTTTTATCCATATTTTCTTCTCATTTTAATCATAACAAGATAATCTCAAGAGAACTGTCTCCCCCCCCAAGTCATTAATTACCCAATTGGTCTAAATATAAACATTCAACTTTGTCAAAGAGAGGCTTAGCACAGTTTAACAATTTCATCTGATTTAACCCACTTGGTTACCTTGAAAATGAGACACTATTATGATTATAATTTTATGATTAGAAAATCTTATATATGATTTTACAACTGCTTTATGTCATATTTACTTACCAATTTTGAAAATATTACTCAGCTTTCAAATTAGCTTTTGGCTTTAATTTGGAGGCAAAATGCTGTTCCTAGGAAAAAGTACACTTCTCAGAATTAATTAAACCTGCTTGCAGAAGCTCTGGCTACCATCCTTATTAAGATTTCCAAGTATGGAGGGGTCCCAGAGTCAAGTGCTGTTTCTGTTGCTATAGCTTATGTATTTTTAAATGAAATCTTTTATTTTACAGAAATCACTGTGACACCAAGAGAACTACAAATTACTATGCTTGTCATTTATGTAGCATTTTTCCTCTGTAGTCCAATGAAGATAAAACTTTGTCAAATACCAACCAGAATTTCAAAGAATCTGTAGCAGTCAAGAGGGAGAAATGTTATAATTATTATTCCTAGAAGCAAAATCATTCTAATGTTTTAAATTCATTATATAAAGAAGTTTTGCCTTTCTAAAAATGGGTGTTGGGAATTTAAAACAAAACAAAAAGAGCACATTATCTATATGGAAAAACTAGCAGATGACTGTTTATATAGTGACAAAAATAGTTTTTTTATTTCCTTTCCAATTTCAGCATGACTTTGATAAGAGCTTTGGAATTAGACACCTGGATTTGCACATTGGCTGTCTCTTACTATTTCCGATCTTTTGGACGTATTACTTGATCTCTTTTGCATGAGGTCCCTCATCTATAAAATGCAGATACTATATAAAAATAGATAATATGAATATATAGCATTTAGCACAGGACCTGGTATAGAGTAAGCATTCAATACAAGTTGCATTATCATCATTTGTGTAACTGGCATCAGATAGCTACAACCAACACATGCATGTCGCTATGGATACAGTGAGCCATTCAAAAACAAACTATTTTCTGGTTCTCTGCTAGCTCCATGTGTGGTCCCCCAATTCCGCAGACGCCAAGTAGCCTCACAGTGGCCCCTCTCTCCACTGTGCTCCCTACCTGGGCCTCCCACCAAACCTAGTGCCATCTTTCGCAGAGGGCCTCTGAGTACCCGCCCTGCCCCTCACCGACAGGCCCTTGTTCCCTGGTGCCTGAAGCTCTGCTTATCTTCCCTGGCCTTCCCAACTCCCCACACCACAGGTCCTCACTCCAGGGGGGGCTGCCTCTGAAAATGGAGGCCCACTCTACTTGCATTCTCCAGTCGAGGCTGGGTGCTGCATTGATTTTCTTTTTCTTTTTAGGCAAAAAGGGTGCAGTTGGAGCCCGCAGGGTGCGCCTTGTGGTTCCGGCTATGTGGAGTTAGTGAGTTTAGGTCCAGATGGAGGGGCAGGAACAGGATGGGGTTGGGATGCCCTAAGCATCATGGGAGTCTTAAGGAATGATGGGATCAGGCCCCAGGTGCTGCTGCCACAGTCATCCCCCACTGAGAAAGCCCCACCTCACGTGGATCTCAGGAGTCCTAAAGACTTGAGCAGAGGAGTCCTGGGCTGAGAAACACCTGGTGCCCCAGATGCCAGAGGCCTCTTGTCCTTGATTAGTCTGTAGGAGTCTGGCTCATGCCACCTGTCTATCAATCCCCAATCGTTCTCGATGCCTCACCTTCCCCCCTCCCAGTAAGAATCACATTACAGTGCATTTTGCCCCACTGGCCTGCCAGGAGTTGGGAAGCCGGCTCTGGGATCTGGACGAAAGGCTGTGCAGGGGTGGGACCATCAGGGGCCAGAACCCGGAGTGAACTGCATGAGCGCCGCAAATCTATCACCTTGCAGGTGGACAAAAACGCTGAGATTGCAATGAGGGCTTCTGGCTCTGCTGCTGGGGCCTCAATCCGACATCTGTGCAAGCCCAACGCCTGGGCAAACTGAACACACCATTTCATTGCTCAGCCTTGGGGCCAGTTGCTCCTCCCAGCAGCAGCAGTGCAGTGCCTAGAATTTGTTCTAGGAGACCGTGGCTGCCTGTTCCCGGAGCCTTTCACCTCAAAAACAGCCTCAGGGCGTTGCTCTGTCCTTCTGACCACATCCAACTGCCTGCACGGTGGGATTAGCTGGCCTCTTCACCCAAGCCGTTCATCAGGAAATGTCCCCCTCTTGTGAACACCATCAGAGATACGCATGGGCCTGGTGGGGCGTGGTCCACGTGGGGGAGTGTAGGGCTTCTCAGGAAGGCAAACAAGGTGTTTTGTGGCTTCAGCTATGTAGGGGGAAGTAGGGGCAGCTCCAGATGGAGGGGCAGGAGAGGATAGGCTGGGATTCGCTGAGCGTCAGGGGATGCTCAAAGAATGGTGAACTAGGCCCCAGGTGCTGCTGCCTCGACCAGTCTCCAGGGGAAGCCCCACTTCTCGGGCTCTCAGGAGTTCTAAGGAGAAGTAATGGGATGAAAAACACCGGGGTCCTGTTCGGAGCCATCTAACAAGTGCTTGCTAGAAAATGAATCCTCAGGAATCTTTATAAGGAGTAACATAAAGGCATAGCTTTTTCACAGTAGGTAAATGTTAGAGGCTTTAAAACGTTTTACAATTGTAGAACACTTTAGCATTCAGACTTGGTGAGAGATGAGCGTTAAGGAATAAAAGGACCCTCCCAATCTCAATTTTGCTGAGTTAATCTTTGGTATTTGGTGGTATCTAGATGCCCTAGAAAATTACAAGTAGATTATGAAGTGCCAGATTGGTTTCATTAAAGTAAGTGGATGGAAACAGCCTGTGAAAACCCTGTGGCAAACTGGAGTATATTAGCTCATTCATTAATTCATTCAACAAACCCTTATTATAGGACCTATAAATGTCAGGTACAGCACCATAGTTATATAAACAGAAAATACATTGCCCTTCTTTCAAGAAGCCTAAGGATTGACATGTAAACAAATATTAACAAAATGCCCATCCATCTATATACATGCATATATACACAATGGAGAATGGAGTGACCAGCTACCCAGGACTTTAGAGAAAATATGAGTTCACTCTCTCTCTGGCTGGTGGTGGGCTGAGACAATGCTAGGTAGGTGATAGATTCTGTAGCTGAACTTCATTCCCAGATAGAAGCTGGATTCATCTGATACCAGAGAAATGATATTTTAGGAGACTGAAACTAGATCTGAATTTATTTCTAGAAATTTCTTTCCCAACCTTGGAACTCTTTGGTGCTATAAGTCCTATAAAAACAATAGATGATGACAACATTTTTCTTTTATGTATGAAGGTAGATGGTTCTTCAAATTAAAGATGAAAGCTGCCTTTTCTCACCAGAAATGGTTTATAGAGTCAACTTGCAAAAATGTAAGTGGCAGCAAAGGAAAGAGTAAAATATTTTATCATTCTTAGATTCCATATTGTGAACTCCATGAAAGCAGGATAACTTCCTCATCCTTAACGCCTGGCCCAGAATAGATAATCAAAAAATAGTCAAAGTGAATAAAAATCTCTATTGATTATTTTTTTAATCCCTGGAAAATGGCAACCGTTTTAACGGGATTTCAGCAAGACATTTACATGGAATAACTGGGACTTAAATTTTGACTTTGATGTAAAATATATATATAGATACATGAAACTATCTGGGTACAAATGAATCTACTTAAAACTCTTAATGTCTGTTGGTAAGGCTTGGTCCTTTAAGAAGCAATAAAGAATGGCTGTGAAAACAACCTATGCATGTGAGGAATAGATACACTAAAGTTTACTGATATTTAATAGAAAATATTTTATTATGAACATTTTATATCCTTATTGGACATTTACCATTGATTTAAATTGCACATACCACTCAACCATGGTAATAAAAAAAGTCATTATTTCTGCTTTATATTTAATATTGAAATATTCTCAGTTGTTTTGGCTACATTAAACTACAGGGAATTTTTTGCCCAGTATATTGTACTTACATTCATGAGGGTATATTTAACATGCAAAGGATATAAAATACACATCCAAATATTGGAAGTCTGGTATACTTCACTGTGTTTTGGAATGAGATTTAATACGCATGCTTATACCAGAATCACACCAATGGTATGCAACTATTAAAAAGTCTGTTAGAATATGAACTCTATTTAGATTAAGATTCTTCTATTAAATTAGTTTTAGAGTAGATGACGCTAACAATCTAAAGACGCAAAGATAATGTGAGGGAAAATTACCATCTCTGAAACTCTTAAGAGAAATGTGGTACATAAATACTCGTAATATAACTGATAGGTACTTAGAATACCTACACAAGATCAAAATCAAACTTCCTGGTAAAAATATCTTTTTTTTTTTAAAGATGAAAGTAACCTGCAACTAAATGGTATAAGTGAAGTGGCAGCACAAATGTGCTGTCAGTTTATCCAGGCTCCTTATGTTAGGAAGAATTAATTAAAAATCTACAAATGAGGCCAGCCGAATGGCTCAGTTGGTTAAGAGCTCGCTCGCTCAAGAGTGCGAGCTCTGAGCAACAGCGGTTCGATTCCCCGCCCAAGCTGAGCTGCTGTTGAGCTGCCAACAGGTGGCAGAATGGCTCAGCTAAAAAAAAAAATTACAAATGAAAAGGAGAACTTTAAACCTATAGAAAAGCAAATAATATGACATTGGAATAGAAAAACACACAAAAAGGAATGATTAATAAATTTGTATTCAGTAAAACTCAAAATATGTTTGCATGCCCTGTAACTGGCAAAGGATTCCATATAAATCAAGGAAATGATCAAAGGGTATGAATGGGCAA